CAGAATAGGTGTTCAAGTGTAGTTCTCCTGCTCGGCGGCGGGCTCCAGGGGAGGGCAAACGAGCGAGGGGGCGCGGGGCCTCCCCCCCCCTCTCGGAGCGCGGCGGAGCGCTGTCTGGCCATACCTCTGGGGCAGAGATGCTCTGGATCGCTCCATAATCGCCCCCCCCTTGGAGTTCCCGGGGGGGGGGAGGGCGCGTCGCGTCCGCAGGGGTGCTGGGGGGGTTCTGGGGCTCGTTCCCTTCCCCGCTGCTGGCGCGGGGCTGGTGCCAGGGGTGGGTTGGCCGCGCCGCGTTTTCACGCGTGTCACCCCCCGTTGATTCATAAGAAGTTCGGAGTATGCTATATGATGTGTTTCATGTGTTCGGGGTGGACCTGCGTCTCCAATAGAGGCTACTAGTACGGTAGGTTCATGTGGTGTTGGCGCGCCGGCGACGCTGGCGAGAGCGTTCGAGGCCGAATTCTGTGTCGCGGAAGCACCGACGGACACGATGACGTGTTTGGAGCCGTCTGAATTCAATCTTCAACGATCGGGGCTGCGACCGATGCAAGGTTGAATGATCCACGCGGTGTCAAAACCCTTTGCGCGCGCCGACGCCACACGAAGCTACTGTATTCGGACGATGCTAGGTCGAATGGCAATCCGTTCCACAGCGTTCCGGAACGCCCCCAGGGCGTTCCGGAGCGCTGCCGAGGAGGTCGCGGCGCCCGAGACATCATCCAGCCCAGCCAGACCTCGGAGATTCTCGATGTATCCTCACCCGAACTTGCCTTCGTCCTGGCTTCGTCTTTCGCAGGCCCCCTGGCGTCCCCTGCCTCCGAGAGGGGCTGCCCTCCCCAGGTCGGAAATTGGAACATATACATTACCAGTGGCGGGCTGTTTTTCAATCCCAGCATTTCTTGAGGGTCGAGGACGACGCTGGGGCGGTGCGGTGTGTATACTTTCTTCCCCCGATGTCCCAGGGGAGTTGCTCGCCAGTGTAAATTCCCATGCAGGGGCCGGAAGAAGCGTCGGTGTACATCTTAGGCGATGCTTAAGAAAACTTAAGTTTTCGGCCAGAGTCTCGATTATTCTTAACTTCCCAATGTAGATCCCAAGATTTTGATAGATGTTCTGGGTTTTTATTCAATTCCTGAGACTATGAATTTCTAAACCCATGATTTCTCAAGCATTTCGCAGGGTGTATAGAGCTCGCCTCCCTCCCCAGGGCGAGAAGCGGCGGCGCCTGAAGGAGCGGAAGGAGGGCCGGCGGGCTCTGGAGGCCGAGCCGACGCGGTAGCCCTCTGAGCCGGCGCGCGCTCGGGGTGCGGCGCCTGGGTGCGTCGCCTGCTGGGGGGAGGGGTCGACTAGTGGGAGGGAGAGGTCTCAAAGGAGGAAAAGTCAAGAGGGAAAAAAACACACAGACACAATTAATCCTCGATTCCCAGGAAAATATTGGAAAATATGGGAAGTGGGGGGGAAGACAAAAACACAGAAAATATGGGAAAATATGGGGACTAATTTTATTTGTGTGTATTTATTTGTGTGTCCTAATTTCCCTTTATAATGGGAGGGAGAGGTCTCAAAGGAGGAAAAGGCACTCCAGATTTCGTAGTACCCTCCAAGGCAAGCCATTTCAGACCTCCAAAACATCGTCCCCAGACCCCCCAGGCCCTCCAAGATAGACTGGAAGAGACCCCCCCCCCCGAAATGAGACCCCCCTCCCTTTATTACGAAATCTGGAGTACCCATACCTCTACCCTGTGCCCGTTTTCCCCCTTCTGGGCCTGCTCGGAGGCCCTCGTCGCAACCGCTGGATTCGCCTCGAAAGCCTGGTCAGAACGCACCCCGGGAGAGGTCCGGGGAGTAGCGGTATCGGTACCTTTTTGTCTCCCCAAGTTCGGTAACACATTTTCGTGTTTCACACTTGTTCGGAGCACCGTTTTTAACCACACTGGTTCGGGGCATCGTTACCGTGCCAGCGCAGCGCGTGATTGTGATACATCCCCGCACGCTGCAAGAGTGCACCTGTACATTCATGAATGTGTTGCGCTTCCGTAGCCGCCGAGGCTCGAAACTAGAAGTCACTTTGTTACATGAACGAGAGCCAGACATGAAAAAGTTGAGCAGTCACAGCTGGAGAGCTCTTCGGTTTCATCATACCATCTGAATTCCTCCTTTCGCGTCGGTTAGCGTCGATTGGCGTCTGGGCGTCGATGACGTAACGCCGATTTGGCGTCGGCTAGCGTCGATGAGCATCGATTTCGCGTCGATGAGCGTCAACTAGCGTCGGTTGGCGTGGATTCGCAGGAGCCGGCAGGATGGCATGGGAGTCTCCCGTGAGTTGCCACCGAATGGGGAGAAAGGTGCACTCCTCGGGCCGCAAAGGGGCCCCCTTGGGGGGGCATCAGGGGCCCTTGCGGGGGCCCTCTAAAGGGCCCTTTCTCTGCAGCCCTCGCCGCCCCCCCCTTCATTGATCGCCCCCCCATGTGTCGCCGCCCACTGCGCAAGCGGTCGAGCGCTGCTAAAGGTGCCCTTGACCCAAGGCGCCCTCAGCTCTCCGCCTTATTTTGGAGCCCCTGAGGCCCTCGGGGCCTCGTGAGGGGTGCTCTGAAGGCCGTGGGGGTCTCCTTGGGAATAATGGAGGCACCAAGGGCCATGGGCACTTCTCGCAACATCCGAAAGCGGGGGGATCAGCCAGAGCGCTGGGTCCTGCAGGATCCTACGTGCATTGACAGGACTTGAGGGCGGCCAAGAGGGGTGGGCAACTAGGGGGCCATGATGTCTCCCCAGATCGCATGGCCCTTTTCGTCGTTCACTCTAAGCTCCCTGGCTTCTCCTTAGTCCGCGCACATGCCTCGGGCTGTGATGTGCAACCCCCCTCTTGGGCGCCTCCCTCGTGGACGCCCCCGAAGGACATGCCAGCCATGGGGCTCCGCCGGATCCTGCCAGATCCGTTGTGGCTTTGACAGGACTCGGCTTACAAGAAATTGCACCTGTTGCTCCGCGTGGATTCCGTGGGTCGGCGCCTGGGCCCCCCTGACTGCACCTCCTGCGCCGCCCTTGGTTCGCTCCGCGATCCAGGGAGGGGGGTCCAGCGCGGATCCAAGAAATCCGCGCTGACCTTCGAAAGCTTATGTTCATGCCATATGTTTTGTCTCGAAGAGTGCCCACCCAGACAAGTCGGCGGGCGAAAGCTGCACCAGTTCACTCGTCATTGGCGTTCCTGTGTGCCTGTGCCGTCCCCGGTCGGTGTCGCTGATCGACGTGTGTTTTGCCCAGTACACTCGCGTGTCTTTGGACGTCGATTTGCTATCCCGCCTGGGTCCATTCGGAATGCAGTGCCGTTCGCACGTTGAGTGCCCCTGCAAGCGTTCGCTGAGGGCCGTTTCCCTGAGGGGTGCTGTGTCAGCCCTCGAGTCCTGCAAGACCGGATCTGGGCTGGGCCAGGGTTGGGGGCCGTCCGCCGCTGCCGTGGAGGTGGCCTTGCATGTTGGCCAGGCCGGGCGTGGGACGCCCTCCCGAGAATTTCACCCCAGCTCTTTGAAATGGCTGAGCCTGGTGTACACCTCTGCCGGAGCACAGTCCGTGCCCGACGAGGTCTTGGCGTGGCTGCCAGCAGCTGTCCCGAGCCGTGCTGCAGTCCCGCGAGGTATTCGCCTCAGCATGTCTCTCGTCTCTCTGCCCTTCCCTATATTTCAGCGCGGACCCCAACGAGTGTGCTTCTAGCAGCAAATGTGGTGCGATCTACGTGGAGCTATCTTTGCGGTGCCATCTATGTGGTACCATCCATGTGAAGCAATCGTTGTGGTGCAGTCTATGAGGAAACATGTATGTGGTACAATCTTGGCGGTGCAATCCATTTTGTGCTGCAGTTACGTGGTGCAATCTGATTGGTGCACTCCATGTGTTGCAATCTCTGTGGAGCAATATGTGTTGCAATCTAGGTCGAGCAGTCTATGTGGTGCAAATGAGGTGGAGTATTCTACGTGGTGCAACTCACTTGCCGAACTTGAAGTTGTCAACTCCACTGCTCGCGCAATCATCCCACCCACTCACCCGCAACTTGGTTTGCAAAACCCATGCGGGAACGATTGCGATGAGTGCTGAGAGCTCCGGGACCGAGCACAGATATCGCTCCGGGGTCGTCTTGGAGCCCTCGGGGGCGCCTCAAGAGCGCACCAAGAAGGCCAGAGAAGCAAGAAGGCCGACGACGGCGACGACGGCGGCGTCGTCGACAACGACGCCGACGTCGACGACGACGAAGACGACGCCGACGCCGACGCCGACAACGACGACGAAGACGACGGCGACGTCGCCAACGAAGACGACGACGAGGGAGGAGAGAGGACGACGACAGCGACAACGACGACAACGACGACAACGACGAGGGACGAGGGAGGACGGCGACGACGCGAACGACGAAAAAGGAGGAAGGACGGCGTCGCCGACGACGACAACGACGATGGAGGAGGGAAGACGACGACGACAACGACGACGACGACGACGAGGGAGAAGGAGGACGGACGACCACGGCGACAACGACGACGGAAACGACCACGACGCCAAAGAGGACGACGAATACGAACACGAGGAACGACAGAGGACGACGTAGGCGACGACGACGACGACGACGACGCGGGAGGAGGGAGGACGACGACGATGACGACGACGCAAGAGCGCGCGCGCACGCTTTTGTTGAAAATCCTTGTTGCGAAACCTTGTGTTTTTGTAGGTTTCTTGGACACACGATTTTGACATCCTTCCGAAGCCGATGGGTTTTGAAGGATTTCGGCATACGCGCGCGACGACGCGCGCGTCTGCACTTCGTCCGTTTTTTGCAGAGGATTTTCTCGAAGGCACACGTGCAAGAGCGTTCGACAGATTTCGACATGCGCGCTCGCGAAGCCCGTGTGGTAGCATTGTGTTAAAATCTTGAAAAACAATGGTTTCTTAAGATTTCGCAAGAGCTCGCGCGTAAGTTAATTTAAGCAAATCAGTGTTGCAAAACCATGTGTTTTTTGTATGTTCTTTTGGGAAGCTCGATTGCGAACTCCTTCTGGCACCGAAGGTTTCCGAAGGATTGTGGCATGCGCGCGCGACGACGCGCGCGTGTGCACTTCGTCGTTTGTGTTTCCCCCCCCCCACCTCATTTTTTTGCCAGGGATTCTTGAACAAATGTGTTGTTAGAACAAAAGGTGTCCCCGCGTATTTTTCACAACGGAACCACAGGGGGGGCGATACCGGCCCTTTCTGGGATAGCGCACATTGATATTTAGGGTGGACATGTGGTTAGAAACATATCTGATTCACATACCCGAAATGGGGAACGGATAACGGGGGGGGTAGAGTCGAATCTCTCTTTAAAGAGGAGAATCTATGTGGTGCATCTTGTTGTTCTTTCCACGTGGTGCAATATATGTTGTGCAAGTCATTGTTGTTCGCAGTGAGTTGTCCACTCCACTGCCGCGCAAACGTCCCACCCACCCACCCGCAAGTTGGTTTGCAAACCGCGCGCGGCGGCGATTGCGATGAGTGCTTGGCGCTGGCTGGTGCCTTTTTGCGGCCGCACCAGCCCGCACATGTGCGCGCGCAGCGGCCGGGTAGTTTGGCGCGACCGACACGGCCGCGGTGGTGCCGACCGCTCGGCACATCCAGGCGGGCACTTGGGAGTGCGAGTCGGCGTCTTGGGCGGGTGCGGTAGCACTGCAACGTCGACAATAGTAGCGATGCTGGTGACGATGTTGACAGCGACGACGGCGCGGCCAGGGACGGCGCCGATGCCGATCACAACGACGACGATGACGGCGTGTTCGCGTCGGTGATGAAGGTTTTGGAAGGAATTCGAAAGGCGCGCGCGGCAGTCGCGCGAGAGTGGCTCCCATGGTATTACTTGACACGGACCGTGCCATCCCAGCATGCGCGCAAGGGCGTTCGAACGATTCCGGCTTGCGCGCGCGAGGTCCGTTTGGTAGAATTTCAGGAACATTTTTATGTTAAAACACGTATGTTTTAGAGCGAGCGCGCGCGCACGCTTTTGTTGAACAGCCGTGTTGCGAGGCCTTGCGTTTTTGTATGTTTTTGGACAGACGATTTTGAAGCAATTCCGACACCGAACGTTGTTGAAGGATTTCACATGCGCGCCCGGTGCCGCGTTCGCGCACTTCGTTGCATTGTTTGCAGGGGGGTCTCGCGACGGCGCGCGCGCAAAAACGTACGAACGATGCCTGCATGCGCGTGCGAAGCCCGTTTGGTTGTATTTTTGAAAATCTTGCAAACCGGATGGTGGTCTTAAGGATTCGCAAGGGCGCGAACGTTTTTTGGGGTTATTTGAAGATCCGTGTTGCGAAACCGTGTGTGTGTGTGTTTTGTTTATACGGTTCATGCGCGCGCGACGTCGCGCGCGTGCGCACTTCGGTTTAGTTTGCGCAACGGACTCTCGACAACTTAGGATGACTGTTCAACGAATGCGCGCGCATAACATGTTTTGCATAGGTTGGCGGGGGGGGGCGATACCGGCCTGTTTGGGATAGTATGAGTTCACAGGTCGGATTTACATTGGGTCAGAATCTTATGTGTTTTGCACCAGGGGTATTTAACTTCGGGGGGGGTATGATTTCTCTGCTGTTAGAAATAGAGAGTCAATCTACGGGAATAAGTTCGTTGTGTAGTCTACGTGAGGCAACCTATTTGGCGGCGATGGGTTTGTGATCGGGCGGCGACGGCGGCAACATAGTTGCCAGACTGCAGACTGCCACACCGGCCCCGACGACGGACGGGCGGCGACGAGGCGGCGACGGGGCGGCGACGGCTGCCACCAGACCGAAGACACGGCCCAGACGACGGATGGCGACAAGGCGGCGACGGGGCGGCGACAGCGGCCACATAGCCGCAAGTCCGAAGACACGACCCAGTTCTCTAGAACAAAACTATGAACCCCTAAGTACAAACACTGTTTGGGGAATGTTTTCCCTCCGATCTCCTCCTTCCTCGCCAGAGGCCGTTGTTCCCCCTTGCCGCATCTTCTTTCACTCCCTCTCTCCTGCCTATTCCGCTTCTCTCCCCTCCTTCGCTCCATCTCCCTCTGTTGTGCTACACCTCCCCTCGTTTCTCGCCTTTTTTTCCTCTCTACCTTTGCGCTGCACTCGTGCTTTCATCGTCCCTCCTTTCCAGTTCCCTCTCCCCCCGTGTCCCTTCCCCTCCATTCCCTCTCCTCCCCCACAACTTCCTCCGTCCCTCCTCCCCCTCCCTCCCGAATTCGCCCCCAGCTTCTGTCATCCTCCGTCCTCTGCCCCACCCTTCTCCGCCCCCTCCTCGCTTGAACCCCTCCCTTCCACGCGAGCCTGCCTGCCCCACGCGCACGCGCTCCGCGCCAAATTCTCTTTTTTCGCCCGCGCGGCCGCGGGCTCGCTTTTGCCTCGGAGCCCGGGATACGACGGGCCAACGGGAGGCTCGGACGCATTTGATCGTCCGTCGGATGGGCACCTTGTCGGTGCCTGGGGAGGAGGAGCAGACAGAAGTCTTCGAGGCGGGGGCTGGTCCACAACCGCCGCCTGGAGCATTGATCCTCGGAGGCCTCAGTAGTCGGTGGACACTGATATGGTTGTATTCATGCAGTGAGCAAGCACATATAGGAAACTGACCTGGCACAACTCCGGGTCCGTCCAGGGGCCCCAGGAGGCTTCAGAAGGGCCCGACCAGCGGAACGCCTCCAGGCGGCCACGACGGGCCCAAGATAACCCAAGATGGGCCCAATATGACCACTCGACGGCCCAACGTGCTCCCCAGATGTCCCAAGGGGGTCCCAAGACAATTCCCCAGTTGCCCTTGGGAGGCATAGCTGATTTCCCATATCCTATGTGGGTATCTTGTTTTCTCTGGACACCCCGCGCTGTCCTCCTCACCCCCTCTCCTTCTCACACACTCACACACCATCATCATCGTCTGCATCGTCAGTATTCACCATCATCACCAATCAATCACCACTCACTATCACTCACCATCACCATCACTACCATGACACATGCATCACGATCACCATCCCATCGTGATCATCGGTCAAGAGGGAGCCTCGTCTGTGAGTGAATTGTGAGGAAGTCTCAGGCGGGAGCCCCCTCCCTATGGGGTGCGCACTTCACGTTGGTAATCCGAGCGGGTCACCGGCATCCTATAAGTGTCATCAATTTTTCGCTCCTCAGGTTTGAATCTTGATGAAATCTCAGGCGGGAGCGGCCACAGTGAGTGAATTGCGAAGAAGTCTCAGGCGGGAGCCCCCTTCCTTGTGGGTCCCGCATTTCACGTTTGTAACTCGAGCCGGTCACCAGGATCCTGTAACCGTCGTCGCTTTCGGGCTCCTCAGGCTTGAATTCCGAGGAAGTCTCAGGCGGGAACCCCCTCTTGAAGGGAACCCCATGTCCATGTTAGAATCCGAGCGGGCCGCCGGGAAATTTGCAGCCTTGAATCCGACCAGGCTCTCCCGTCATGATTATGGAGGACGTCAGCTCGGGAACTTCTTGACCAGGGGAACTCCTTGGGGTGTCGGAGGGGGCGGGGTCGGCAAGGGGAATGGGAAGTGGGGTCGAGAAGAAAATTGTAAGGGAAGGCCCCTGATGACGGAAGGTCCCTGGGACCAAAATAATGTAATAATTTGGATCTCTCCGAGTTCCGACGAGGGGGATCCTCCAACGCCTCCTTCTCCTCCTCCTTTCCCTCTTCCTAATCTTCCTCCTCCTCCTCCTGATCCTCCCTCTGTCTCTCTCTCTCTCTCTTGTTCTCTCCTCCCTCCTCTGACTCCGAGAGCTTGTCGAAATCCGAGCGGGCCATCAGATCCATTGGGACGCGGAGGAATCCGAGCGAAGTCTTTCGGGTTTGTTTTAGAGGGCCAGTCGATCTGCCCATCAGAGGATGACGAATGCTGCGTCCCAGCGTCATGTTTTCCCGCGCCACGCTCATGCGGAACGTGCTGATCCTGCGGCCGCCCCAGCGGGAGTTCCTGGAAAGCGGGCCGCCGGCTTCCCTGCGGAAGGCGTTCAGAGAGTTCGGCAAGAGAGTAGAGAGTTCCAGGGCAGAGGCGGACCAGCTCGCGGCAGAGCTGGGCTTCGTGTTGGTTCCCGCCCGAGCGCGGCCGCGACTGGCTATGTGCCTGCGGGGTTGTCCCGACGGCTGGCCCCCGCGCCCCAGCAGCTCGCGGGGTTGTCCCAGGGGCCTGGCCCGATGGATTGCCCCAGCGGTTGCGCGATGTGGATATTCGAAAACGCGTCCGCGCTGACCAAGGCGGCGACGGCGCCCAGGAACATCCGCACGAGCGTTCTCGCAGTTGAGAGGGGGGGAGGTGAGAAACAATGGAGGGCGAGGAGGGGGCAACTTAGGGAGCGGGAAGAGGGCCTGCGCCAGGGCGACTCCTACCGTCGGAACGATGGGCTTTCTTTTGGCGTCGGCAGCACTATCGCTACCTGCTCCTCCTTTGGTCCGCGATTGTGGGAACGTTGCCCCGAAACGTGGGTTGCGCTGCATCTTTGAAGGTCCTCGTCTGCCCCATCGCGCCACCCATCCGTGTCGCGTCCATGCCTAAGCCATGCCGGGTCTGCGTCGGATCCGCGCCGGATCCCCGCCGAAGTCACGTCGAAGTTGCGTCGCGCCGACGTCGGAACACAAAGCAAAACTGCCACTTCATTGGGACAAAAGGCCCCCCGATGATGCAAAACAAACAGGGGGGCCCGCCCCTTGGTGATGGTTTTCGGATCATGACGTGGGTCGCCCGTGGCCGTTCGGGGCGACGCGGGCAATCCCAGAACCAATCCAGAGGTTGGAACACCGCCGGTGGGGTTCGCCGCCCTCCGCGGCCGCGGCCTCGGCCGCGGAGGTCTCGGGCCTCGCCATCTTTTGGCCCTCGGTTCTAGGCACGTTGCCCCAAAACGAATGGTGCAGCAATCATTTGGCCCTCCGACCGCGGAGAGTAGGCAAAGGAGGGAGATGATGAGGAATATGAGGCAAATGAAGAGGAGGAGGGAGGAGGAGGAGGAGGAGGAGGAGGAGGAGGAGGAGGAGGAGGAGGAGGAGGAGGAGGAGGAGTGGAGGTGGAGGAGGAAGAGGGGGAAGAGGAGGAGGAGGAGGAGGAGGAGGAAGAGGAGGAGGGGGAGGAGGCGGAGGTACAGGGGGGGGAGGAGAAGGAGGAGGAGGAGGAGGAGGAGGAGGAGGAAAACGAGGAAGTGGGGGACGAGGAGGAGGAGGAGGAGAAGGAGGAGGAAGACGAGGAGGAGGATCAACTGCTCCCCAAAAGGGCAAAGTAGCGCAAGGCAGCACCGACAGCGAGCCGCTACTTCATGACCTATGTATCGTCATGGGGCGATTTTGGAGCCTCTTGAGCTGTCTTCGTGCGGATTCGGAAGCCGTCAGAGCCATCCCTGGCGCTTAGCCCGAAAAGGCGCAAACCCCCGAACCCTTCCAAAACTCAACGGGAATCAGTGCTCCTTGTCTCCTCAAGCATTTCGGAAGCGGAGGCCCCTTAAATCTTTCCGGGAACACATACATAGATATTTGGAATATTATCCGTGAGCGTCCGAGCGGATGTCCCGAATCATACCGCAGGAGCAAGGGAGGAGAGGTGTCGAAGACGACGACGAGTACGACAACGACCCCCTTGCACGGGAGGCCACGGAAAGGCCAACCACGTCCAAACCAGCACAAAAACGTTCAACGCCGACGATGATGACGACGACGCCGTCCGCGGCTGTAGCGGCGGCGGCGGGAAGAGCTCGCACGTTGTTGGACGAACGGTGGCGGGAGCCCAAAGGCCTTGAGCAACCGCTGCGACGACAGCGACCCCGCGAGGCCCAAAAGGACCATAATTTTGAAACCTCGACCCAGGATCCCTCATTCTCCCCCCTCCATCGTTGACGAGTGCGACGACGTTGGCGGCGACAACGACGACCACGACCACCACCACGGCGACCACGGCGACGACCACAGTGTCGACGAGGAACCCTAGTGGCCTCCGCAGGTCTCACGACGACCACACGACGACAATCGATCGACGACGGCTGATTGCTTCCACAGACCTCCAAAGCCTCGTAGCCTCCGGAGGCCCCACAAAAAACATCACAAGCCCTTGAGCGCGCAGTCGTCCGATCACGTCCGCAGACGACGACCCCCACCACGACCCTCCACGACAATCACCGCGGCGATCACCATGACGATCACCACGACGATCATCTCGACGCTGGCTGCGGCGGCGGCCGCGGGGGCGGCGGCGGCGGCGGCCTAGCGGCCCTGAGCCTCTGTGGTCTTTCTCGGCCAGCGTGGCAGTCACGTCGTTGGTGTCGTCATGGGAGGCACTCGGAGCTTTCAGGCTCGCCGCGCGTCGATCTCGCACGGCTCCGCGGCCGCCCGCCGTACCCGAAGCTATCCCCCAAAATGCCCAGCACTTTACGCGCCCAAACGGCCCCTGCCCGGGGAACCTCTCGTTTGGTATCTTGACGTTTCTGGTCTAGCGCAGTGTCTATTGACAGCGATTTCGCAGTCGGCTAGAGCCACTTGCGCGCGCGAGGCGCGCGCGCGCGCGTCGTTACAGCATGTTTATCTCACATTCCAGACGCTTCGACTGCACCTGCCCATCCAGAGCCGATGCCTGGGCGAGTTGCCTTGATCAAGGATGTGGAGGAGCATGCAGTGAAACAAGGGGCGGGGGAAGTTTGCAGACCCCAAGAGGGGGGATATAGAGGAGGGTTCGGAGGAGGAGGAGGAGGAAGGAGGAGGGAGGCGGAGGAGGAGGAGGAGGAGAAGGAGAAGAAAGGCTGGACGGATGAGGACAAAAACAGGAGGACGAGAAGGAGCAGGAGGATGAGGAGGAGGACGAGAAAGACAAGGAGGAGGAGATGCAGGGGGAGGAGGAGGAACAGGGAGCAGGAGCAGGAGCAGGCGCAGGACGAGGAGGAGGAGGAAGGCGACAAGAAAGGCCAGAGGACTCTTGGATGCCCTGCGATGTCTCTAAGGATGTCGCTTGAGAGCGTCTTGAAGTTATCTTGGGGCGGCGTGGGGGCCTCTTGGCTGTTCCGGGGGTCTCATGGAGCGTCTTGGGTGCCTCGGGGGGGGCCTCTTGAGGCATCTTGGGTGTGTCTTGGGAGTCTCCTGGGGACCTGTTTGGGGTTTCTTGGGGCCTCCTGGGCGCCTCTTGGGGCCCTCTTGAGACACCCTTGGAGGCCTTGAGGGCCATCTTGGAGCTTTCTTGGAGAAGCTTGATCAAATGATGAGTGCCGCCAATTCGCCGTCCCCACCTAAGAGGCCCAAATTTGCCCAAGGACGGCTTCGGCGCGTCTCGTCCTCATCCTCCTCCTCTTCCTCCTCCTCCTTCCTCCTCCTCCTCCTCCTGATCCTCCTCCTCCTCCTCCTCTGTCTCCTGCCTCCCCTCCTCCTCTTCCCCCTCCTCCTCCTCTTCCTCCTCCTGCTCCTTCTCCTCCTCCTCCCCTCCCTCCTGTCCTCGTTGCCCTGGCCCGTTCCTTCCCGGCCCCGTTTCGGCTCCGGCC